TCTCCCCCCCCCCCCTTTTTCTGTCTCCCCCCTCTCTCTCCAGTAATTGGTACCTCGGAATGAGCATTGCATACAGTGTGGTGGCACTTTGATACAAGGTAAACATTGCAGTGGCTACTTCACAAGCCAGACAGACACAAAAAGGAAACACGACCTGCTACAAAGAGGCCGATTCTAAGCGATGAACCCACTGCAGCCTTTCCTGTCTTGATGTTTGCTAACATCATGAGAGGAAACCTCCTGTGCCAGAGATAAGATAACTGAGAATGTGACTGTTATTAAAACAATAAACTGCAGGAATCCCCTGATATTAATAGATGGTAATATATACTGAGGCTTGACTTTTTTTGTTTGCAAACTCATCATCATGGCATTAAAAATGCAAATAATCACCCTAGAAGTAATATTCCTAATATGATTGTCATGCTGGTTCTTGTAGTTCCATAGTCTTATATTGAATAGATAAATGTTGTCTAATGCAGTTCATAGATATTGGGTGAGGGGCTGCCATTCTGGCCAGCTTTTGGCAGGTTGGTCAGCAATCTTCTGGTGGTGGAGGACTCCTGAATTATCTTTCTGAGATAACAATTTAAATGGGTTAGAAAACCCCATCCAGTCCTTGTTTCCTCACAGATAAGGTCGCACTGTGTTTTTTTTAGCCTCCCTTCCTATTGCGTACATGGTAAGACAAGTTGGGTCAGTGTCAGAAGCCAGGCCGCTAACCCCCCATGAGGCAGTTGGATCATTGTACACTTATTTCTGACCATAAACTGATGGTTATAATTTATAGTTCATGTAAAGCCAAAACATTTATTCTTAAGTCTTTGATAGAATGTAGAAGGCTTAAAACCCCTGTTAGGTTTTTCAGTGCTTTCCCTGTCCCCATTGGGGAGATACACCCTCTCTCATTCTGATGAGCTCCTGGGGGTCATTGCATCCAGTACAGAAAGTGACAGGAATTTGAATCTTTTACAGTTGTCAAAGGAACAGGAGGTGAGAGCAAATCTTCCAATAAGGAAACCTGTTCTAGCGACAACTAAAAGAGGATAAACCTTCTGCTTTAGAGAGATCTCCTCTTACTTCCTGCTGTGTCTCTGTGGCAGGAAGTAAAGGGAAATTCCCCTGATGGCACATGTTCCCTACCTTCCTAACCTACCCTAATCAACCCCCCCTATCCAACCCTTGTGTCCACTGCCTTGTGTCTCCTGTGCGTGTGACAATCATTTTACAGTTGTCACAGGAACAGGAGGTGAGAGCAAATCTTCCAATGAGGAAACCTGTTCTAGCGACAACTAAGAGAGGATAAACCTTCTGCTTTAGAGAGATCTCCTCTTACTTCCTGCTTTGTCTCTGTGGCAGGAAAGCAATCTTTTACAGTTCTCACAGACAGGAGGTGAGTGCAAATCTTCCAATGAGGAAACCTGTTCTAGCTGACAGCTAAGAGAGGATAAACCTTCTGCTTTAGAGAAATCTCCTCTTACTTCCTGCTGTGTCCCTGTGGCAGAAAGTAAAGGGAAATCTCCCTGATGGCACATGTTCCCTACCTTCCTAACCTACCCTAATTAATCCCCCCCAACACTTGTTTCCACTTACCTCCCTCCGACAGAGGCCTTCTCCCGCTGTGCTTATCCTCCATAGAACACCTCCTCAGCACTGACCAGAAGGTGTTTACATCCTTCATGACACAATCTTCTTGGTGCTGCCCATATCTGCGCTGTGACTTCCCAAAGACTTGAATGGGCTGTAGCTGTACCATTGGTGTAAGGCCCCTTATTCAGGAGTATTTGAAGTGTAAGAAGTTACTACACAGGTATAGGCAGCACCAATTGGATTTTTGAATGGAGAACGTAAACACTGCAGGGGGGGCTATCAATGAGAGGGCACTTGGGTGGTGGGGAAAGGGTGGCAGGGGGGTTAGCTTAGAGTACATTATGCTGGTAGGAAGTGGGAACTGTGGACTTTATATCTAAACCTGAACTTTCAACAGGCTGTTTGAATTTTTGTATTTACGAGCTATGACACATCTTTTCCAGAAAATAACACAGAACTTTGGGGAAGCCAAGATGACTGAGGAAGCGATTGTTCCCGTGTACGCCACAGGGATCTCTGCCCAACTGCAGAAACAACGGGACCATGAGCTGGGTGTAGGGAAACACGATAATGCTGTGAAGTTTCTGGGACAGGATTATGATCGGATTCAGCAAGAGTGCTTACAAAATGGAACTCTGTTTAAAGATGACACTTTTCCTCCGACTGCTTACTCATTGGGCTTTAAAGAGCTAGGTCCAAATTCCTCCAAAACCTACGGAGTTAAATGGGTCCGGCCTTCGGTAAGACATATTCATCTTTGTCTTCTCTTCTAGTTGCCTGTCATGTTACTTCTGCGGCATACATACTTTTACATAGAACATTGATTGTGGTATATATCGTAGTGGGAAGAAAGCTAAAAATGCTTCTGGCACAAAGTGGATGAGGCTGTGCAGTTAAAGGCTCTTTTGAGGCATGATTTTGCCTTTGATTACTCTTAGGACCCATTACTAGCCATTTCTCCTATACAGGATCTACATCAGGGTAGTCAAACTCTTGCCCTCCAGCTGTGGTGAAGCTACAAATCCCATCTGGCATCTGCTTCTGGGAGTCATTGCTGTGTCTGTCAGTGTCTTGCATTGCCTAGTGAGATTTGTAGTTGCACTACAGCTGGAGGGCCGGAGTTTGCCTATCTCTGGTTGACATGATTGGGGTTGGTTTGGGCTATTTGCTCCTCTCTGATCCAGGGGCGTCCCGAGGCCGGGTGTCGCCTGGAGCCGAGACCGGGTGACACCCCGCCGTGACGTCGCTACGTGCGTGCATGATGACATCATCGCGCATGCACGGTTATCCTGTGGACGCCTGCCGGCGGCCTTCTTGGTGTTGGACGCTGGCAGAGAGAGGAGGAGACATTTACCCGGCGGGATGACATATGCCACTGGGTCCCCTCCTCTCTCCTGATACTGTCGGGCTCTCGGTCAATGACCGAGTGCCCGACTTTTCAGAGAGGGTGACACCAAAATGACTGTGAGCCATTTTGGTGTCACCGCTCCAATGGTGGCACCCGAGTGCGGGCCAAACCCCCCTTGTGATGCCACTGCTCTGATCCCACTATAGCCCACTGTGAGGCATCTGGTTGTTTTATTTTGGATAGGTGGGTTCATGCAGTAATATCAGATTAGTATTGTACCCCCTGTAATCTTCTGAAGAAGTAGACTTGTGTTTTGAGAAAAGCATTGAGAAAGCCTAACTTTTCTAACCTTTTATCGACAAAAACTATATATGAAAGGAACAAGCTATTGTGCAAGTGAGTTGATCTATTTTGGGAGAGCATTAAAGGTTAGGCCCCATTCACACCTGTGCAATTAGGGGTCAACACACACGTTACAATCTGGCCATAAAATCTCTGTACAATCAACTTTAGCTCTACCAAATCTATGTAAAAAGAGGACCTCCCTAATCTATCCAATCAATCTGTATACAATCAGGTAGGCCCCTGTACTACACAAGTGTTGGTCGAGCTAAAGGAGATTGTACAATCGGATTGTAACGATTGTGGTGAGCTTTAGGTATGGTGCGGTAAATAAATACTGCTTGTGGCATCTTTTTTTTATTTTTTATTAGTGTTATAAAAAATGTTGTAGAAATTCACAAGTAGGTTGCAGTCTCCGTACACAATGTGCTAGATTAAGCATCAACTGCTGTCACTACATAGAATAGATTTAGCAGGGAATATAGGAACTCCAGGGTACTATGCCTCGCTGTTCATAATTAAGCTTATAAAGAGGTAAGGATCAACCAATCCCTTCCAGCAACTCAGAGAGGGAGCACCAGGGCCACCCCACACTAGGAGAATGGCCTTTCTGGCATAAAACAAGCCGGATAAGGGATTACATATGTTGGGAAAACCCAATCCAGTCTCCATAAAAGAAGTAACTTCAGACCAAAAGGCACGTATTAGTGGGCAGGACCAAATGGAGTGAAAAAAATCTGCTCTCTGACCACAGTGCTTAAAGCACTGTGGAGTGGGCCGGAGACCCGGGGTACATAAAAGGGAAAGGGTATAATAAGTCTGGTAAAAAAATTTCATCTGCAATAGTCTATCTCTGGAGTCTGTCAAAGAAGACGTATACGTATCTTCAAAATCCCAGCAATCATCCAGGTCTAGATATGGGAGGAGTGTCTGCCACTTTTGTTCACGTTTATCAAATCTGGAAGATCGTGGCTATAGGTTCCTCATAAAAGGTTGATACCAATTTAGAGGAGACATCTCTTTTCTAGGGGGAACTGAACTGGTATTAGGGCCCATTCACACCAACTGCGGTGCATCCCAGAGCGGCAGCTGCTCCCTCCTGCCCCACAACAAAGGGGGAAAGTTTGTGAGCGATTGCTGTGCGTTCCAGCAGCTGTCGCTCTGGAACGCACTGCAATTTGTGTGAATGGGCCCTAAAAGAAGTCGACCCGAATTGGGCTTGTGCTGCATTCCTGCTGTACCTTTACTTTCAATAGTTCTTTATTGAAGTCAAGTTATGCAGACATAGTAAAAATATGTATAGTATAAACAACTCAAAGGTGTGGAAGGCATTAACCATTCAGAACTAACATTCAGGAGAAATCTTATTAAAAAATACAGCAAAAAAAGCGGAAAACATAGCCAGCAATTGTTGCTGATGATGTGAGGGGAAAAAAATGGAGAATTTGGATGCTGTCACAGTTCAGCGCATGGCAGAAGTTTTGGAGAAATCCAAACAGTAAGGAGGTGGGAGCTGCTATCCGAGTCCATACAGAAGGTTAGTCAAGAGGACCTGTAATGGAACCAGATGTCATCAGGGTTCAAGTCCAGTCCGCTGAGGATACCTGCGGGGTGGAGAGAGGTTGAGACGGGTGAGCAGGAGGCAGTAGACGCCATTCTTGCAGTAAACGTAATCCTGAGTCCACCACTGGGCACTGTTGGTAATCTGTAGTCACTGAACCACAATGTTTTCTTATCATTACCCCATAATATAAGTGTTCTGTGGGCCCAAGATCCAGGCCTCCTGCATGGAGACATGTTCCCCAGGTGTCTGGTCCTACAGATGCCACTGATCTGTTCCACAAACTTCATCTATGAGGAGAACATAGTTTCCAGTCCACACCATTTAGCAGAATGTAAATGCTGAGTACTGTAGCAGCTTCTACTCAAAGCAAGTGCTGGTCCTGCCCGGCCTTCCTTACCTACTGCGTTGAACAGAAACATTTTTGTAGCTCTGCCAGCTCTGTTATTAAGCAAAATATGAAACCATTTTGTACTACATAATGTAGCTTCAGTTTATTTACATCAGCAATTTGCTAATCAGAGGAAATGATTTGATGTGTTTTCCTTGTGGGGAAAATTGCATTGCTTCTTTTTTGTTATTAAAAAAATAAGCAATGTACTGTTGGAGGCCTGGGATCCTGAACCCAGTACCACACACTGTGTTTAGACTTCTGTGTCAGCCTAATAATGATGCACTAAAAAGGCCACAATAAGTAGCAAGTGGTATGATACAGCTACCCATATTTATTTTGCCATTAAACGCCACCAGCATTTTAAATTTTTAAGTTGACTTTTATAAAAGTGCTATTAATAGCCTCCCCTTGTGTACCATTGGGGAGATTTTTCTATACTTCATGTCTCAGAGCAGCAAGAATTTAGAGGAGATCTCCCAAAGTCAGGGGAGTTCTCCTCTTACACAGTTGTACCTGGAACATGTGTCGCCATTAGAAGTGTTCCTCTTACCTTTTGTTCTGGAGAAACTCTAAACTTCTGGATTTCCCCTCCCTTTCATTCTTGGTGGCAATGGTAACAACTACAAGTACAAATAAAAGGGTGAATCTCCCCAATGGGGACACAGGCTCCAAAACTAAATAAAAAGGTTGTGCTTAGAGGTACTTTTATATATAAGATGCATTTCAAGCTACAGAATCGGATCTAGCTGGAATTACAGGGATTTTTGGCTGTACGTGGTAGATTTGCTGTTAAGTGATTCCCCTGATGGCACCATTACAATAAAATAGTTCCTGAGAACCGCTTCCTGCTTTTCTTATAAGTTCTGACAATATCCTCACACCTTTTACCAGGATTATTTATGTATTTTAGGAACAAAATACATGAATAATCTGGACTGGAGGGATCAGGGGCTGTAAAATGTTATAAAATACTGTTTCCGGTTACACTGAGGAAGAGCTGAACATGGTATGGGGGGAATCTTAATAATGGCATTCTCACAAGATGTATTTTAAAAGGCAACGAGCTACCTAAGCAACCTGTATTTTGCACAATCTGCTGCCGTTTTGGTTCATAAAGGCAAAGTAGCAGGTAACATTTACTGTAGGCACGGAACATTTACTTACATTTTGCATGCTCCCTTGCCACACAAATACACTACTAGGCTGATCTAATGACTGGTGTAAGTTTTCACTTACTGGACAAGTGGAAACATACATAGGATTTCACATGCTTTCTCATGTGACCACACTTGGGCCCGGTGATTGGTTTTTCAGGCACCAAGTGCAGCAGTGTGGGAAAGCAATGGGAATGTCTTACCTTGTACAAAGCAAAAGCTTTTCTATTTTCAAAGCTAAAGTGACACAGATGGACTCTATCATGTAACTGACGTAATATCTCAACTTTTCCTGTAAAAGACAAACTTGCCCTCTGCTGAACCATTCCCAGGAGATGCCACCGATCAGAATAAACTAACCCCCTACTTTCCCTATTTCATCATGTGCCCAGTTTAAGTTGATCAGGGTATTTAAAAAGGTTTACTTGAAATCTAATAATGCAATTTGAAATTTTCTTTGGATCAGTCACACTGCTCAGTTCTTGAAGGCTCATCATACCAGATGTACGCTGTATAGGATTTGAATCACGTGGTGAAGAAATTATTTTAAATAATGCATTGATCGGGCCATTGTTGGAAGCAGAATGCAGAAGCTTCATCCTGCATTGTGCTCTGCTTATTCAGTCTGATTCCTGACCAACAAGGTCAGCATGTTATAAAGGAGGTCCCATAGCACACTTTGAGGATGGCCATAATGAATCCCATATCTTCTGAAAAACATTGAGTGGGGCAATATCTGCTCATCCTCGCATAGCTTATAGTAGTGCAGGGATCTGCTGCAGTCCTTACCTTAAGAAGACAGCAACCACATACTTTACTTTTCTACATAGAAGAACAAAGATTTGGGACCAAACTGCAGTAAGAGTTTCAAACAATTATACAGTAATAGGCACCTCTGAATGTCTGAAGTGCTTGCTTTAACCCCTTTCTTATCCAATATA